TGCCAGGCTCATCTTTTCTATCAACACTAGAGGCAAAGCAGTCAGACACAGCTACATTTATTTTCAACTCACTAGAAAATACACCATCAATAATGTCTCTGTAAATTGCAAGTATATCTTTCAGTCACATCATAAATTGCATGTCAGCCTCTAGAAACAGCTGAAATGAATCACAGTTTAAAGCACCTGGTGCTGATATATATACATTTTTAAAATCACATTACAGAGCTCTCTCTACCTTTGATCACGATCACAAAAGGAACAGGTGAACCTATCATTTACCTCAAGAAGCTAACCAAGAAGCAATCCACTCTTGGTTATTAAATAGCATTAGTTAATAAAAGTCAGCAGAACTGTATAACTTCTCTTTTTACCTAATGAAGCAAAAGGGAATAAAAGATAAAAGATGCAAAAAATAAGTTTTAACTTTATAAGAAGGGACAGAAACTTCCCCAAGATTAAAATATACACATGGAGTATATGTTGCTTTGTCATGCAAATGTAAGAAAAAAATACATACTGGATAAGAAAGCAATGCCAATATTAATGTAATCAACACTGCTCTCAGGTGAGGTGGAAGTAGAGATTATTTTACTAGAATGAAAACAAAAAATGCAATACAGTTTTCCTATATCTGAACAAATAACACAATTAGAGAATATTCCATGCAACCTTTAACAACCTGTGAAATAAAAACCTGTATGCATTGACTCCATAGGGAAGGTCCTGACATTCACACTGGTAGAAGGAGAGAGGAACGCAGCTGGCAGGCATTAGCCAAAGCCTTCAATCACTTTTCACATTAAATGCTTTGCGCTACTGATATCCCTCAGACTAAAGTGGATAAAATTTCCTCCTTAGGTCATCAAATTAAAATAATTTAGGAAAGCGCCCTACAATCCTACTGGACAAACGCAGAGAGTTTGAAACATCCTGCGTTACTTGGGTCCTGCACCCAGGGTATCTGTTTACCTGCATGCCCACAGCTCTATCCTTGCTCCAAGCCATCAATACATGTCCTGAATGCAAAGAAAGCTTTGACATGGATATCCGGGTGCAGAGAGGAAGAGATGCGAGATCCTGGCATGTCATCTCATTCCCCCACTGTGAGGAAATGACAGAAACCATCTTCAGAAGAGAAGAGAAGAGAAATGCACAGGATGTGTGTATATGCTAACAGGCTTATAGAGGCAGAGAAAAATGCATCACAACCTCCAAATGTCCACACATGGCAGAAAAAACAGTGTGGGAACAGGAAGAAAGTCCTCTAAACTTCAAAAGGTGTAGCACAGCCTCTTGATGAGGATGAGCCCATTCTTTATTACAAGGAGCACTGCAAGAAATACGAAAACCACTTTATTTCTGCAGTGCTGTTTTCTACAAAGATATAAACCAGTACTCCTCTGAGCTATCAACTCCCTTTTGTTCATTTGTTTGTTAGATGGTTATTCACAGGAATGGCAGCTTTTATTTCAACAGTATAGATAAAAGTATCGCACTGAAATTTAAATGTCAAAGAATACATACTCAAATGTCAAATACCAACAGACAAATGCCAACAGAGAAATGTCAGAAGTACACCCATGTCTCCCACTGAATATAACTATATCTGCACAAATGCAAGCCACAGCATGATGTGTAAAAACAAGAGTTTTTCTGCAGTTCCTTTGGGATGGTAACACCACTTGTGTCAATAACATCAGGATCTGGCAACCATCAGACTAGATTATTCCAAGTACCTGACTTATTTACAGACATAACAGTACAAAATTTGTATTTCAGGCAAATCCCACTCCTGAGTTTGCTAACTTGCCACTAAATGAAGGACCCAGCTCAATGAACTTCAAAATGAACGCTCCCCTGCTTTCCAGCAGCCCATGAAAGATGAAGGTCTGGACTTGCAGACAGTTTCTGCTAGATATATTGGATTAATTTGGCCAATAAAACCAAACACGAACATGAATTCATGGTGTTTCTTAAACTGTTTGATTTTTTGAGTCCTACAATATTAACCTTTGAATATAAGTGAACTTTTTAGAAGTAAGCAAATGACTCCAGAACCCAAATAGAACTGACTTCAGGCAGAATTTGGACTCTTGAGAAATCTGAGTGCATTTAAAAATTTTACTTCTGTTAATTAAGATCAATTGATTGTTCCTCAGGGAAAAAAAGATTAAATAAAATTCTTTACACACTTTGTGCAAACCTCTGGACCCGGTGACTTTAATAGGCCTTTTGTCATGATTTCATCCTTCATTATCTCACATAAAAGTACTTGGAAACATGTTCATTAGGGAAGATGCATTTGTTTAGAAATTTCAGTCAGTCTGCTAATTGCAGCTGCTTCCACTAGAGCTGAGAAATAAAAATGGTTAGGTAGTTCTGTAGTCAGATCACTAAATACATGAAAGCTTGAAGTGCACTTTAATTAGTGTAGCTAACAAAAATATATCTGACTCCTGTAATTATTGTGATTTGCTTCCAACACTAGTGGCTCATACTCTGTGAAGTAAAACCTAATCAAAGCTAAAATATGCGAAATATTGTCAAAAGAGTAATACCAACATATGGCATTTTACCCTTAAAAATCTTCTCTGTATCTGATATAAATGTTTTAGGAACCCCAGCCTGTTTTTGTTTGTTTTTTGTTTTGGTTTTTTTTCTTTAACTTTGTGACATTGATTAGAAATACCGTATTTATTTTAAATCACTTTACTATTCATTTTATTGTAAAAAATACAATATTTAATTGGAATTATTATTTTTTCTAAAGATGCTTCTGGGAACAATTACCACATTCTCACAATATATACAGAAATTTCTTTCTAAAGAAAATTGCTTTCTCTACACCAGAGCTCTTTATAAAGCTTTCTGTGGATTGCTGAACGCTGTTTACAAAAAAAAAAAAACCAAATAAAGATCAGAACAGATTAAATCTGTTCTGCTCTGGACACTTTCTTATTTTTAACCAGCCACAGCACACCACAAAGCTTTACGGATAGATATTTATAGTGCAACCTTCAACAGGAAAATTTTCTTATAAGCTCTATATTTAATTTTAAACACTTATCTTGACAAACATAAGAAATACGTATTTTCAGCATCTTTTGAGCTTTGCTTTACTCCTGAACTGCATCTTGTAACACTGAGTTTCATGATCTAATTATATTCCATGCAAAACTCTGTTCTCTTTGACCAACTAAAAATCTATTTCCTTTCAAAGACAGTGGATGTCTCTTTGTCCTTGAACTAAGATAAAGGGTAAACAAGGAAGCTTCAAAAAACCTGTTTGTACTATCTCATTGTTTCACACAATTTATGTGTGCCTGTGGTCCTTAACCTCTTCATTAAAAGTAAATTGTACTATAGTTTAAATTTGCACTATAAATATAAATTATACCATCGGAAAAGAGTCAGAAAGGATAGGAAGTCTTTTTGAACATTTATATTTCTAAGAAAGACATTTATGTGGGTATCTTTCTCTTCTATCTTTTTGTGAAATGGAAGAACACAACTTAATGCTTCATTGAGGCAATCACCCAGACAGGCCTAAAGTCAAAAACCAGCCAAAACCAACCAATTAAATTAAATGAAGGGATACAGATTTGTCTTGGGAAGGGCTATCTGGTTGCTCTAAAGAATAAATAGATTCTTGATGCATAGCATGGAAAATAAATCAAGTCAAAATACATTGAAACAGGTTGAATTCTATAGGCAAGGGAATAAGGACTCATCCAACATTCTGGTCGCCTAAAGACTTCGTGAAGCACATCTCCAAATATCAACAAGATCCCATTCTTTTTAGTTTCTAAAGCATCTCTCACGATCTCTGCTCAAGGTGACATAACTATAGGCATGTGTGTACATCAAGGTATTGACAATAGTTGAAACAGCAGGAACAGAATAACAATTACAATAAATAGCAGAGGAGAAATTTCAGGAGCTTAGAGACACTTTTAAAATTCTTTCTCTCTCCCTTCTTTCAGAACATTTATCTGTTGCTGCAGAAGAACTTATCTGTTGTATGCAGATAAATGATGTCCTTCATTATATAGTGACACATGGAACCAGTTTCCATATATTAAGATAACTTTCTCTGTCATTTGCTTTCAGACAATCACTTCAGCTTCCTCACACATAAAAACCAGTGTGATTTGATATACTAAATGAAGAGATCCTAATATTATCTTTCAGGAGATCTGTCTTTGAAGAAGAGTTACTCCTGGAAAAGCCTATTGGTCTTTTATTTTCCTAAGAGGTACCATATAATTTTTGCTACTTTTGCCATTCCAGAGGGGCAGTTGTCCGAAGTTAAGGATATGCACTGCAAATAGAAACTTGCTTTCACCATTCCTTACACAGGACTTAAATTTGTTTTTACAGACTAGCAAAACTGAAAAAAGTAATTTTGCTGGAGATGTATGCCATTTCCTCAAACAAGCTAAGTCCAAGTATTTGGACTATGTCTGGTAGCTGAATACATAACATTGCACTTACTCTGTAAAAGTTAACTTTTACTAAAACATCAAGTATTTATATCATGCAGACAAGAGATTACAGAAATTTTATCTATGTTACGACAGATCTCCCGTACCTATGAAGTTTAATCATCTAATGGTTACACATCCCACTTTGACCATAGTGCCAGTGTGGGTGCTCTAAACATAATTTAATGTAAACTTTGTTATTTTGGAAATGGGTTGCAAGGGTTACAAAACAACAGCTTTCACTGCTCTTTTGGGACAGTTGACCAACAACTGAACACATTCAGTATTACAATCAATACCTTGATCGACACAATCTACTGCAAGGCCTCTTTGCAATAGTAAAATCAATGTGTATAAAGAAGTTCAAGACTTTTCTCCCATTTCTTACTCCTCTTAATGACACACAACAATCTATTATCTGCCATCAAACAGTTTTCTATTACCATGGAACACAAGAAAGTTTTTTAAAATATCCGTAAAAATAGACTCTAGTTTGAATACATGTAGCCTCACCTTGCGGATGCCTCTGCCAAGATCTTCTCCATAATTTGTCCCCAAAATTTCAAAATGCACATTGGGATTCCCCCCATTTTCTGCAAATTCCAGTTCTCCAGTCAAGCCATTCACTCCACCCTATTGGAAAAAAAGAATGGATTGAAAATTCAGAAGTAGACAATTATAATAACCTTTTGTTATTTTATTATCCAAGGCATTTGTGCACTGACTATGCAGTATACATTCACAACTACTAGAATCAGTACAGTTTTTCCAAGACCACATTTCCCTAAAAAATTTGAAGCCTGAATTGTTTCTGTATCATGTAAGTTCTTCACAGGAGACTCAAACTCAGTAGTGCTAACCAGATGCAATGCAAGCAATAGTCTTAATCTATCTGCAATTCAATTTTTGTCCTTCTACCCATCAGTGTGTATGTATAGACATTCTAGCCCCATTAAAAAAAAAGTTTTGTGACTAATTTTAGTGGATGTAAAACTAATGACAAATAAACAAAAGAAATTCCACAAAAAATAGTTCGGTTTGTTTATTTTTGCATCCCTGCCTTCCCCTGCCACCAGTGTTTCTCATGCAAGAGATTTCCACAGAAGATCAGGTTGAGTTTTGCATGAAGTTAGGTATTTTTTGAGCCCAGCATAAGTGATCTGCGCAAATGGGGGGCTTGTCTAGCTGAAAACAGTGATTTTTCTGTTTTCCTCTGAAACTCTACTGCTAAGAATGAATGAGATGAGAAACAATGCAGCATATTTTCATTTTATTTGCTTTTACTTTTTACATTTTTGTCAGAAGGGGTTAAAATGCTAAAGAAAAAAAAGTGAATATTTACTGTAAAGAATCAGAGTTGAAAGGGCTATAAATGCTACAGCAATACTCAAAATGTATTCGAGGGTTGATTCAACATGACACTCATTTCATCTTTGTATAAGAACTGTGATGACCTGAACTTTAAATTCAACAGAGACACAGTGAAAACCTTTAGCCTTAAAAAATTTCTTCAGATTTTAGATTCAGGGAAAATTAGATGTTTAACCCTCTCCCTCAAAATAACCTGAACAATATTTTAAGTACGTACAATAAAAAGTATCTGCCCCTGGTGTAAACCCATATGAAATGCACAGCTTTTCTTCAAAATATGAGATAAAAGTTTTGCAGCTGTGATTTATCCTTCAGTTAAAAGCTTTATTATTTGAACTGAAAAATAATGGAAAATTAATGCTTTATATACCAGCTACCTAGCCAAGCACATGAGCCTTGCTGAATCATGATTTTAAAAGCTCTATTCTCACATCTTCTGTTTGGAGCAAATCCAGGAAGGAGTACAAAATTTGCATCTCCATTGCTGATTATTATGAACTAAAAAAATGTTGCCATCCTTTCATAAAGCATCCTATAACAAAAATAAGGAAGCTGATCACTGTGATAATACCTTTAAAATTTACTAGCAACTACTAGAGAGTAGTATTATCAGGGAATAATATAGAAATATTTAATGAAGTGCCATTTTCAGTTAAAAATAAGGTAATACTTTGTACAGACATGTATTTAATCTTTTTTAATCTTTTCTATAATCTTTACTTTCTGGATGAGATAGAAGAATTTTTTTTTTTTTTTTAAAGGAAAACAGCATCCTAATTAAGGGTGCACCTGCACAGTCTTTTGCAGGAAGACCCTGGGTCATTTTGCCCTCGGTGAGAGCCAGCCAATTTTGACATAGATCCCTATCGTTAGTGTGACATTGAGGTTACTTACTATGCTTGAGCACAATCCTGTAATAATCACACCTTCATGGCTTTTAGATTGGGTTTATCACACCTCTGACAGGTTCAGAGTAAAGACAGAGCTTGTGTTTGCCTTCAAAATAATTTGAACATATCCTTAGGTAAATAACTGAGTTTCACAAATATAAACCTTTTCTGTAAACCTAAATTTGACTACATCCTATTCAGGAACCAGAAATAAAAGCCTATTCTACATACCTTTTTTTCTCATATAGTCTCATCTGGCTTTTTGATAAACAAAGCCAGAATTTCATGGTACATATGATATAGAAATGCCTGCAAAACAGCACACATCTGTAAAGCTTGGGATGCCCATCTGACCTCCAAAAGCCTCCAGCTGGCTGACTTGCCCTCCCTGATAGCATACACCTATTCTTAGTTCTGCACCACTCTGACCTCTTATTATATACTGCTTTTCTGTATTATACTTCATATTTCCTGTATTACTTTTTTCCCCACAATGTGAATTAAACCTATAGGTCTGAGGTAGGTGAAGTATGAATATTAAGCTGCTATAGACCACCTGAGCTGCACCATAATTTCTAGTAAGCCACAAGCAAGGTCTGGAAAAACGAAAGCAAAACTCTGGAAGAAAATTATAAAAGAACGGAAATATTGAACAACAACAACAAAAAATTCGTAATGTAGATGCTTTGTAAAACAGAAAGTGCAGAAGTTGTTTTTCTTTCTTCTTATTATATATGTGACAAAGTAGTTTTAAATTTGGAACTTTCAGTATAAAAGATTAAAGTGACTTCATTTCCCAGATTGAGAATGCTCCCAATAATTTATGGGACATGAAGATAGACTCATGTCTAAAATATAAATGATATTGTGAGACCTAACACAGCAATTTAAAATTTTAGTCAACTTTTAATTTAGTTTTTCATAACCTTTGTCCTTATTTAAGCAAATATGAAAAAATGAAGACTTATTTCACCTTAGTTACATGTGAACTAATGCAATCCACTTCTAATGAAAACACTTTCGTCTTTGGTAACACATAGACCCTAAACATAAGGAACAGGTTAACTGACCTACCTACCATACTTGGGAATTGAATTTCTACCCAAAGCCATTGTATGTAAGTTTATTTACCTCGATTTTTTAAATGGCTGTAAATACTGGGGCAAGATAGAAACTTTAAGTCTGTTAGTTAGTTTTATTTGTCTGTAATTCAGTGATACCCATAATAACAGTTTTCCTCATTGATCTATTTTGCAATTTTATCACGCTTTGAAAATTTCTCATGTAAGAGCGTCTTCTGATTAGAGCTTTCTTTCCTAGACTGTGTGCATTTGCAAATAGTGTAATAAGAGCTAAGATTAGATGGGAATGCACCTGGCTTGGAAAGGGAAGAGACAGAAAGACACAACAGTAGAGAACCACCCATATAACACCAACAACAAATCTAAAGCTGTTAGGAAACTTCTTGGAGTGCCTGGTGCTCCCTCCCTACCCGGGACATACCTTGCTGCTGCTGTAGGCCTGGCAATCTTGCTATTGCTCTCTAGCCCTAATTGCCCCATGCAGCCTTTTTACAAGGCTTACATGAGCCTGTTTTATTGCTTAGGGCTGAAGGAGTGGCACAGTGTATTGTCGAGGGAGACTTTCAGGACACTGCTCTAATTTTTCTGCATAGTCTTTCACTTTCTTTTCCCATCTTTCACATGGATCCCTCTAAAACAGATATTTGATGTACGGCATGTATTTTAACCCTCTGTTACTGAACAGTGGAAGGAAATCACAAAGGAAATGGACATCTGTATGACAGCTACTAATCCAGTAACTTCCCATTGAGATTTTTCCAAGTTATTTTAGTGTTCATTATGATAATGGGCAAGAGTCCAATAAATTTTTCATTCAATTTACAGAAACAATGCTATTCGAGGAAAAAGGAAGATGTGCTCATTATCTGCTCTTAGATTCCTCCAAGGTTGCAACCATGCGATTTCCTGACACATTTAAAACTGAAGAGTGAAATGCCAGTTGTTAGGACAAAAATGTTTTACTTACATTTCTGATCACTGCTCTGGGCTTTGCAGAGCTGCTGTAAAGCTCGGCAATACAGTTAAAGCCTACTTGAGTTCTGTCTAGACTGGCAAGATAAACTACAGTTTATATATGCTTAGGCACCACTACACTGTAAGTCTGTGAAGAAAGCACTATTTACTTAGCAGTCAGGACCTCGCTTGGGAATGTCAGCTTCTCAATCATCAGTCATAAAATATTATACTTGCTCTGACAGTTCCTGGGCTTTTTTTGTTTTGTTTTGGTTTTTTTTTTTTTTTAATTTGGTTTGGGTTTGTTGTTGTTTTGTTGTTGTTTTTTTTTTCCCCAAAATGCATTAGCTATTTTGCAATTAAGGAAAAAAATGATTATAGGCAGACAAAAATGCTATAATCATTAAATATCAATTTCATCTTTTAGTCTTGGAAAAAACCTGACATCAAAAACGTTGTTGAGTTTTAAACTCAACACACCATTTTTAGCTTCTAGGGAAGAGAGCCTAATCTATCACCTGAAAACCAGTTTGGCATCTTTTTCACATGTCACCACTGAACAACGTTGACATTTCTGAGACCAGAACTATTTGACAATTCCAGCTATGATTCATTAAACAGCATGAGGTACAGCTCATTTTCCACAAAGAAATAGGCTCTATGTTGCTGCTAGCACTAAAAATGTGTTGCTTGTCAGTGAGCTAAACAAATACGACTGGGAAGAGATCAGGTAAGCGTGAGAGAAGATATATGCAGTAACTTGTCATTTTTCCGAGTTGATCCTCCATATAATCCTACTTACATTTATTCTCCAGCTATTTGGGAAGATTAATTTTTCCAACAGTAGAATTGTTTTCTAGTAATACTTATTTGTTTCATTGTGAAATAGCTTTACTGAGAAATAAACAAGCGAGCATGTGTTTGGGGATAGCTCCTCTTACAGAAGTGAATTTAGAACCAATTGCTAAAGCTGGCCAAATTCATTAGAAGGATTGTATTTCCTGATGATTTTAGCTATTTATCCAGTTCCAGAATGGATAGAAACAGATATTGATTTTAATAATTGTAGTGGGCTGAATTCACACAGAAAGAACAGCTTTTGGAGTTGTTTGTATAAATAGCGATGCAGGAATCAAATGTTCAGGAGTGAAAAGTAAGAAAAGACAATAGGAAATGATTCAGACAGCTATTTTGCCATTACAAGAAATGGTTGAAAATCTAATTTCCCCTCATTCCCTACTCTTGCCTATTAGCTTATTAATCATAAAGAAATTAGTTTACATACCACCAGATTTCTCCTATTTTCAACAAGTGCTGACGCAGGTAGAACATCAACACCCCTTTCTCTTACCTTCACACCTTCAGTGTGCAGCTTTATAGAGATTTCCCATCTCTTTTCTTATTTGCCCCTCTAGAAATCATAGAGAGATTCCCTCTGCAGCTATAACACTGCCAAATATTCCTATTTCTGGGTGTCTGATTCTAGAGGACAGATGTTTTTATTTCCGCCCCCCCCCCCCCCCCGAAAACCTTCCTCCAGAACTAGTTTTTCCTTCCTTTTTTTCTTTTTTTTCTTTTTTTTTAGTAGCAGGACAGTCAAGAGCTCTGTTGTGTGAAGCAGTAGATGGCAATATCACTTCCGCTGCTGCCAGGAGATCAGCTACTTCAGTTGCTAGTCCCTTTCTAAGGCAGGCAGTCTGGAATTAGGCATCTCTTCCTTAACTCTTTCCTCACCAACACCATACTTGGCTACAATGCAACACCCACTGATACTACATTGAGAAGAGGGATAATCTGGAACAAGATGGTGATTCCAGCCCTGTGATAAAATAAATCTCAGCCTGTATCTTCACCCTGAACTAACAGTATGTTCTTACACTACATTCTTGAACACAGTGACTTAAAAATGTAAACAGAACCTTTTATTCAGAAACTATTCAACTATTTAAATGGTAACTTTCTTTCAAAGTTAAGGAAAACTGGTATGTTTTTGAGAAAAAAAAAATTTCACTTGGTTTTTACTTTTCCTTTCATTATTTTTTAATTTTATTGTTTTCCTGACACCTCATCAGACATTCATGAATGTCAACTTTTTAATTTCAAAATATGCAGCTGTGCTACTGAAGTTCTTCTACAGAAGCTTCTTATCAAAGCCATCTCATTTGAATAGAGAAGAAACCCAAAAGCAACAGGATACAAGCCTGGTTAGCTGCACATGTCGGATTTTATTGGCATTTGATTGACCTTTTGACTTTTCTTTAGCAAGCTAACCACAACCTTAGAATTTCTACTTGTTCCTGCCTTCTTGAATGCTTTTGTATTTCTCTTGGCCCTATCTCTTCATATTTCAGGGTTAAGAGCTACATAAAATGATCTTTAACACAGTGCCACTCTTCTGTGAAAGGTCATGGAAGGAATTTGTTTTATTAATCACATCATTTTAGGAGGAAGAAGATAAACTTAGCTAGATAGTTGTAACGATGTGGCAATGAATGGAATAAACTCCGACAAGCAAAGAGATGAGATTGTGGTAAGAGCAAGCATAAATGATGTTTATGTAGGAGAACAGGATCAGTCTCACATCCAGAAACAACACAAACAAGCAAATGATCATAATACAAAACAGTCAGCATCTCTTTCCATGATGGAGTACTTCTAAATTTAGAGATGCTAGTATGGCTACCAGGCTTTGCCTGAAACTCCAGCTCAGATAATAAATTCTAATTCTAGAGGGGAAGTGGGTATCTTTACTTCTATGGCTCAGGCATCCTATTTGGATTTCAGTAAGTAGAAATAGCTTTTTATTGATGAAAAAGTTTGTAATAGTATTTATAAAATGTAAGTTGAGAAGAAAAGTTCCAGAACCAGCCTTGCCTGAAGCATAGCTTAAATACATGGGACTGTTAAACATGAATTTGAAATTGTGTTGATAGGTTAAGAGCAATACGGTTTAGAGTCCCTGAAAGCCATATCCTGCCCCTGAAATAAGAAATGTGTCCTGGATTATCCTTGCAGTCTCATGACTTCAAACTATTAGAATAGAAACCAGAGACAGCCAGCAAAGAAAGCCTTGAACTGTTATTTTGGAACTTATGCGGATTGATCCAGGACTGGGGAAAAAATAAGCAGGGTTCAAAGGAGCCTTCCATTTTGCCTGCATAATCGTAATTTCTGGTGTAGTTAAAGACCTAATGCAGAATGGCAACTTCTTGAAACAACATTATATTTTAAATTATTTTTTAGTTCTTTTTAATGAAAGCCATAAATAAATCACCTTTTCTTTTTACTGTTCTGGGTTTTCTTTGTATTTACAATGTAAATTTTAAGTCTCTCCAGTGAGATCTTATAATGGTTTTCCAGTACCTAAAGGGGGCATGTAGTGACACGACAAGAGGAAATGGCTTTAAGCTGAAAGAGGGTAGATTTAGATTAGATATTAGAAAAAAAAAAATCTTCACTGTGAGGGTGGTGAGGCCCTGGCACAGGTTGCCCAGAGAAGCTGTGGCTGCTCCATCCCTGGCAGTGTTCAAGGACAGGCTGGATGGGGTTTTGAGCAACCTGATCTAGTGGAAGGGTGTCCCTGCACATGGCAGGGGGGTTGGAACTAGATGAGCTTTATGGTCCCTTCAACCCAAACCATTGTATGAGTCTATGATTTTAATTCAGAAACTGTAAATACATCAAAACTATAGCTTTGAAAAGACAGTGCTAGTACTGGCAAGAACAGTACACACTTCAGAAGGGAATACTGCCTACTGTGACTATTTGAGAAATCAAAGACAAGGAAGTACAAGGAAAATGTACCTTCTTTATAGTTTCCAACATTGATCGTCCACCTTGCCAAGGTTTAGAGTTCTTCCTGATGCAGGTGAGGCTGGCCATGCTGTGCCACTTCCTGTCCTCCAGCTTCTTATGAAAAGCATTCGCCAACAGGAGGACGGTGTCATATATATATAGGTTTGAAATCTGCAAAGACATTAGAATGGGAATATAAGCATAATTATTTCTGGTCTCCTGCCAGAAGCCAGAATTTGTCATTTGTTTTGCCTCACCCATAATCCCCTGGTAATTAAATGATTTAGTTGATATTAAGAAGAAATTGTGAGAGTCAATAAGTCGTATCTTCAGCTCCTTTAAAAACTGCAGCTAAGGGCTGTCACGCTACAAGTAATTTGCAGGAACAAACTATATACATGTGAAGTACAGGCAGCCCAATCACAGGCACAGCTCCATTTGCAGGATTTAAAGCCTTGCTCATGAAAATAACCAGACTTCCATTTATTTTTAACCAGCTGCCTGCAACTTTCAGTTTTCAATCACTAGATATTTGGACATCAGCAAATTTTCTTCCAGATTGTTTTATTCTTTTGAAAAACAGAAACTCTGAAAATTGAAAATAAACAATTTCATTATGATTTTTTTCCTGTTTTTTAAAATCAGTTCTGATTGAGACTATTTCTGGAATGCAATATGACCTGATGAAATCTTTCTTAGTATGCAGTTGCATGTTTATTCTACAATTTATAGTGTTTCCTGTCAGAGTATTTGGGAATGGTTGTTAATAAGAGTATTGTCCTGCAAGGAATTGAGTAAACGTGTACATGTTTCACAGTGAGTACAGTTAAACACATATGGTGCAAAGAAGTTCCAGTTTGGCATTAAAGAGACAACAGTTGAAATCAAGAAGAGAAATTACTTGTGTGCCAGATCCACTTACCCATGTATAATTTCTGTACATGTACTTTTAAACACACACAGTACAAAGTCAGATGTGAAAGACACATTTTAATGTAAAGGAACAGAAGCTCAGAATTCATGAACACTTCTGAAACAAGTAATTCACAGTTAAGCTATATTTCAGTCATTTCTGTCCTCAAATGGCAGGAACATTTAAGTTACCATCATAAGGAGAAACCTCAGTTCTCCTGAACAGAGTTTCTCAGGAAAAGAAATGTATTCAGAAATGCAAGGACCTTTGGGAATATTGTTTTTAGATAACCTATTGGACATTTGAAACCATGAGGCCTGAAGTTATTGAGGGAAACTCAGATTACTCAGCTGCACTATGAGAGACTGTAGAATACTCCCAGTGCCTGAAAACCAATTAGCCAGCAGCAATTTGCTGACTGAAGCAAGGCTGCTGGGTTTTTATCTCCATCAGTCACAGACAAGACAAAAGACATTTCCAAGATTGTGGAATACGTGTGTAAGGGTTTCTCCATACAGACGATCTGCTCAAAACCTTAAAAGAAAGGAAGAAGCTGCCTACAGGAAAGTACACCAACTTTGTGGAGAATACCCCTATTCTGCCTCTTAAAAATATCCAGTGACTGGGAAGCTACTGGGAGGGGGTGAATGCCAAGGAAGCACAATAATGCTGAAGATTATGTGTCTGAGACACTGATGAGCAAATCCACACATCACCTTAAAAGAGGAAAGAAAAAAACAAAAAAAATCCCTTTCTTCCTGCCTCATTTCTGATTTCCATATAACCTATTTTGTATGTTTTTATTTTCTTAAATAAATTCCATCTTTATGCTGACTTTGCCTGTATCATCCTCAATCTGATCTGTACATTTCATACAGGAAGGTTTTGTGGCAGGCTCCTTCCCTGTCTAGCATTCAAGGAAGAGGTGGTCTTTCTCCTTACCTCGCCGGAAATTCCTGGGACATTTTGTCTTCCACATTTTCTTGAAGATCTAATGGTCTGCTGATGTCCCTTCTGATGAAGTCCCAGGGTCCTCCACTGCCTTTACAACTGCATTGGTAGTACCATAAATGTACAGGACTTCGGATCCCTACTTCCCTTTCACTTTAAAAGACAATGATCCTTTACCCCCTCTTTCTGGAACACGCTGCTTTATTCTAACTCAAGGTTCTCCCATGACTCCAGTGGCTGTGAGTACTTCCATTTCAGTATTCACCAAGGAACTAATATACATTCTGCAGATGCACAGGCTAGGCACCTCTGTGCATGACAGGATTAGAAGCATGCATTGAGGATCAGGGTTCAGATTAATCAAGCATTTTTAAAATAACATGGATTATTTTTCTGTGTATTGTAAACCTACAAAGAATTCAAAGCATTTCAGCTAAACCTGCGTATCCCCAAAGAAGTCAGCATCACAGGGACATTTAAGGGAGACCGAAGGAATTATTACTATGCTGTGAGCCAAGTTTATTTTACATAAGCCTTTGCCAAAGGAAAAAAAACAAACAAGATTAAAAAAAACCCAACCCAAACAAACCACCTCTAGAGAGCAGAGACAATAAGGTCACTAATGAAACTAAATTGGTACATGAAGGGCTACAGATGTCAAGACATCATTTCCCAACAAAACGACATAGCTTTCAAGGTAGCTTCCATAACCTACTATCATGTGAATAGAAAATTATTGTCACAGTTCCTGAGGAAGGATGCATTCACTAGTCTCAAGAGTAACATAGCTGGGTCTTCATTAAGCATTAACAGGGCTCAGGAGTACAGAGTTCAGCAATTATTAAACATTGTTATTCCTTCACTAACAGTTCATCTTAACATTTACAACTATCAGTCACTGATAATGCAATGATAAAGACACTAAAATTAATTTCTGCTTCTCAAAATCAGCCTTCCCAATCACTACCAGAAGTATGCTTCATTAGTAACTGTCCCGATGCACAGAGAAGGGCTGTAATTTCAAATCACTTTACACTTTTATTCATGTCCCATGGAAATTTACTGGGACGTTTAATGCATTGCCTTGTATCGATTACTGATCCTTTATTTGTTCCAAGCCTCTTAATCTAATGGCTGGACACTTACACTAGCAAGCAGTATCTAACTGCATAACCTCCTGTTGATGCAATCCAAAATTCAGATGTGATTTTTTGTTCCAGAATGTAGAAGAAAGGTATTAGCAATTGGATTAAGTATGACTCATTAATCTGGATGAATAGCATTTACTTTATGTATGCCTAGAACATTGCACTTAGTTTTTAAACAAAAGGGCTAGGGTACCAAATACTTATGTGAATCCAGGTTTTAAATTTCTGCCTCCAAAATGATACAAATTTATAGAAGTTGTTGTTTCAACTAGGGCAGTCCCAGAGATACAATGAGAATTCTTCACAAAAATATTTTTCAGTGTTTTAATAAAGATGCTGAAAAAAATAATTATTCACACAGACTTTAGGGACAGTAATTTGGGGGGGAGTAGGGGAATCAAGAAATCCACCCTTATAATTTCCAGATAATATTTCTGTTTAGTCACACTTCAATGGCATTAAAAAAAAAGCATTAGAGATTTCAATTTATAAACTGTTTCAACTCCCCACTGGAATGGAAGTTAATTTATAATATTGTTGGGGAGAACAAAGCAGCAGCAAACAAACCCCAGAGCTACTCAAAGGTCTGTGCAACATACGAAGACACAAGGGAAACTGTGTCAGAGTTTTACTTCCTTTCATTTTTTAGTGTTGCCTCCCTCAGCCACTAATGAACTGCAGTCATCTCTGGGAAAATATGAAAAAAGCAACTCATGTCTGTAGAACAGTTAAACCAGTCAAGCTTCCATCATTCCTTTGAACCAAAATGCTATGAAAGCTTTCAATGGTATTATTATAGCTCTCCAAGCTATAGGCTGATAAAGAAGCACAGGTTAAGATATAAGGTCCAATCTAACATACTAAATGGATTTTGTGGATAATTTGTAGAAAATAAACTTTGGTTTCTAGAACTTTTTTTTCCTAGAGTCAGTTCATTACTGAACTAAAAATGAAATGAAACTGAAGTTGAAGAGGATAAACTTAAGCAGGGGAAGTTTAGGTGAGATATAAGGAAGAAGTTCTTCACAGTGAGGGTGGTGAGGCACTGGAATAGGTTGCCCAAGGAAGCTGTGAATGCTCCAACCCTGGAGGCGTTTAAGGCCAGGCTGGACAGAGCCTTGGGCGACACAGTTTAGTGTGTGGTGTCCCTGCTCATGGCAGGGGGGTTGGAACTAGATGATCTTAAGGTCCTTTCCAACCCTAACTATTCTATGATTCTATATATCAAATGTGAAGCCTTCTATCGATACACAATTCTTATGTTCTGTAGTTAGTAAGACCACGTTGACATAACAGAATGGAAGAACCTAAAGAATTTCATAGTTCCTAAATAGCCTCCAGAAATATCCTATCCATCTATTGACCTTACACAGCCATGTTTATTTCAAGAACTCTAACAGGAACACCATGCAGCATGCTACAGCCAACTTTTCATGTCATCAATAGCTGTTTACTGGCTGCTTTGTGAACAATTGTGAGACAACAGCTCTTACAGGTAACTCGAAGCAGGGCAAGACAAGCCACACTTTTTCCTCTTATGTATTTTTATTTTAAGAAAGAACACTCTTTAACGCCTCCCTATTTATCTCCCATTGTATTCTTCCACTCATTAATTTTAGCATCACAAGATGACTGCTCTTTGGTGCTAAGTCAGATATGCTCTTCCTGCACCGCCGCCAATGCAGTCATCTTTCCACAACTTCATAAACAACCATGCGAAAAACCCCAGAAGTAAAATCATCATCTCAAGCCAATTTCAGACTCCTGATTTGCCATAGCTTTGTCATGACGAAGACTAACTAGACACAAGAGGACTTGCTCTTGGAAAATGACGTGAAGCCAGGAGGACAGTGACTGTGATCTTGTTGCTGATTTCAAGTGGTAGGAAGGCTGTTATAGTTTAATTGTGATTTGTAAGTAACAACCCTGAAAACAAGGCCTCTTTTGGAACACAGGCATAGATCTAGGTGCGTTCACCAAGACACTTGCAACAAATGATGCAGGTGCTCCCCAGGAAGGCTCTCCTATTCACGACACATTTGAGGCTTAGAGAAGAGGAGATGTTGGCCATGGAGATGAAATCCCTCTCAGTGAGATGACAAAAAGTAAAATTTAACAGGATAACAAAGTAACTACCCTATTGCCTGGAGATCAGGTGGCTTTTTTGGACTTTTTTCTAAATTGTTGTGGAGCAGGGGAGTTGTTCTAGGCCATCAGTCTCACTCACTCAAAGCCCAAGTATTTTCTTGCCGTGTCATGAGCCATTAAACTACATGTCCGAGAGAACACTAAGCCCCTAGGGAAAAACCTTGATCTGATCTAGAAAGACAGTTCCCAGGTGGGAATAGACAGGTATATGAACTACCTCCATGCTTTGGGAGAAGGGGTCCTTCGGGTCGCACAGTGATGAAGATATTCTGTGGTTCCCACGGAAACAGCGCTGACTTATGTTTTGGGGGACTGGAAATGTTTGTCGAATAATTGTTAACCTTCCAATTGACCTTCTCACCAGCTCCTGCACATCCACATCATTTATTTCCTGGAAGATAAGGCAAGAGAAAGAATATGCAGAAAAGTTAAAATACAGAAATGTTACCACCAGATTATAAACAAAAAAATTAACTGAGCGGGCTAAGACCAGTGTGATTGCTACACGGCTATTGTTGAGTTCTGCCATCGCCGCAAAAAGAACATATGCATGCTCAGTAAAACAACTGACATGCCACCATTACGATAATTGCCAAAGTTTAAAATGTACTATGCCCAAACTTCGCCAAATCTTTGTAGATGTAACTGGGCTTAGTTGTTTCATTTTGGGTTTTCTCTCCCTCTCCTTTTACCTTTGATCTAAAAAGTGTTTCACAGCACCCTTGGCAAATAATGTGTAAATCAGTAGGAAGTCATGTCATGATGTATTTCTAAGTGTAGCATTACTTAGGAGCTGTAAAGGCACAGACAATTATTCAGGCCTTAATAGTTCATTTCCTGGAAAACGAGTATCAACAACCTATGAACAATGCGCAAGTTAGCAAACATGATTTACCAAAAGGGTAAAGAAAATGCATCAGAGCATTCTAGGTGTGTATGTGCTTGTTTATAGCACGACCTAATTCAAACCTAGCTTTTGACTCCATGGGATACTTATTAAGGCTTACAGCTAAACACTCAGCTCTATGGACACACACTTTAAAGAAAAAAACCCAACCCCTATGTAAATACATCAATATGTGAAATATTAACCTTAAAATATTAACTTTAAGGCAGGTTAGGGAAACCAGAAAAACAGTTTTAACACAGTATAAATTCTTGAAGTTTGGGAATATGGTCCTTTACACCACTGAATGATTGAGGCCCTCAGGGAACAGAGAGTGAGAGGAGTGTGGGCTTAAAAGCACCAGCAACTGACTCTAATCCTTACACAAGAACTTGAACTTTACTTAAACAGCCTTTTTCTGGTGACTCAAATAGGGTCAGCTGGTAGCTTTCAAGGCAATTATGTGTATCTTTCTGTAAAGCACAAGAAATAATCTACAAAATTGATCAATTTTTTAAACTAGAACTTATTTTTCATCATGCTGAACAGTTTGTCCATAATCTGTTTTAAATACAGAGGCTGATGCCCTGAACTTTTTAGATGCTTAAATTTCTGGATACCTTCTGCCCCCCTGTCTCTCCAAGTAAGGGAGGTGCTCAAGGAGCCAGCATTTAACATACCCTTGTTTGCAGCCAGAGTTTATTGAGTATTTCTGATTCTCATTTGTGTATTTATAGCTTTTCATTTTTTAAAGGATACAGCACATCTGCACTGTTATACCTGTAACTAAATGCCATCATCTGGTTTTGCCTCTAGCCTCCTGATCTATGGCCATAATCAAGACCTTAGGAAACACGAAGAGATAGACTTGAACTCAAATTATGGAATTTTTCTTGTGAAAAGGAAGCCAAGCTTTTCAAAAAAGCAGCTCTTGAAATGTTATGGCAACAATCCCAGTAATTTTGGATTCAGTTAACATTCTTTAAATTAATTATTTTGAAGCAAGTTCTTTGGACATACTGGTATTTAAATTGAATCTTTGTGCTCTCATTAAATCTTAGAAGAAAAACACATGGGATGAAAATTTTAACTTCTACTCTCCTGACAAGTATTTTATTCTTCTTCACAGATTGTCATAGTATCTGAATTAATCTGTTGTTAATGGTCTCTATGAAATATAGATTTTCCTGCAAACAAAAATAACACATGGCATCAGCTGTGTCCAGTGTAATTTCTTGCATTTCTGGTCGATTAATTCTTAATGTACCACACAGAATGGTTTATCTCAGCTTAAGAAGCTGTCTTTTCATTTAGTCTGTATCATTTCACTAACTGCAAGGTAAAAAAACAAACGAAAACAAAAAATGCTGTTTTAACAAAACGCATATAATTTTCAATATAATCGGAAAGGAGAGCTCAAGAAACTTCTTGTCCTGATTTTAAACTATATCCTTTCTCAGAGGATCTAAAAAAAGTTTGCTTGGTTTCATTATACACCATGCCCAAACTGTAACAGCAAGACTATTAGACTTGTTCTAATAATGTAAAACCTGATAGCTGCATGGCAATTTATATTGCTAAGTAATATTTTAAGAGATTTTGACTTTCAGCTGCTCAAACATTTATCTTTTCTGCCTCAAAAGTGTACATGTTTTTTCTATATTCAGCATTTTTGGTGCATTTTAAGTAGAGTGTTCTCATTTTAACCTTTAGATTGCTACCTCGTATTTTTACACATCACCTGGGAACTAGTAACAGAATCCAAACACCAAAAAGATTTTTGTCTGGTTGCCAAGGAGGTATCTACATCAATAGATTAATGACAGCTATTATTTTAAATGCTGTGAATTCCACTGATCATATAACAAATTCAGATTTTAGGTTAGCAACAAAGCAATGCCATACAAAGCCAATTCAACTTTAGTAATTTGCTATAGCTTTCTTTGTCATTTTTTAATATTTGGCATTGACTGAGTGACAAGCCTTTTATATAATGACTCTCCAACATCATCTCTCATTCTTGAATTTTGGATCTGACTTAAGAAAACTATATAAAGCAACTATTGTATGAGAGGAAACAATTTTCATTTGCACTTCAAAGAAGGATACAGTATAATGATATAAGGATGGCAGATGATCTATTACACAAGCACTACATGTAAAAAAATATTACAAAGTTGGCTGAGCTGAACTGAGTTGGCACCTGCATAAATTTAGGTTAGGTTATGTGGGTTGGATTTTCTTTTTTTTTAAATCAGAAGATCAATACATAGTTTCAAAGCTTTCTGTTGTTAGTCTGAACTTGGAATAAAGGGGAGGTTGTCCTATTTGAAATGGAACAAAGATAAAATTAGATGTACATTTCATCTGAGTAGGCAAATAAATAAGGAAGGAAATGCTACTTTAAATTAATAAGTCTTTACAGATGAATTAGGAAAAAGAACTGAAGAGGATCACACCAACATATCAGACAGAGACTTGTCGGAAGCAAGACCTAATATACATTGCTGTTCAGCTTTCATTGTCTCATTATTTTAAGATAAGCAGCCAAGGCAGACCATTCACCACAGAGCAACCACACAAGTAGACAGAGACATGGAGGAAAAGAATGTATTCAGTCTTGTAATAAGCACCAAAGGCAGCAATACTTGCTTATGGAGACATCTTAACTTGGGGCCAAGATGATTCCAGTACTTTTATCATATACTGGATGTGTCTTCATCACATTCTTCATGACACTCTTCATCACATGATGAAGACATGCCATGTCTTCATCACATTCTTCGTAACACTCAGAGAGGAGAGTGTTTCTTCCTCCACAAGCCAGCAGCAGAGAGCAGGAGGCAGAGCAAGAAAGGGGGGGTACTGCACACTTTCTTGAGGCTGCCTCATGGGCTGCCACTGCCTATGCCAAAACACAGTTGTGCTATGCCCTTCCTGAATTTCTCGGCACTTTCCAAAGAGGGGTAGCTATGGGAAAGGCATAACTAGATGAAGCTCCAAGACAAGTAAAGGGAGATATTGAACTTCATAATAATTTGCTCTCTATATGTCCTTTACGTTTCTCAGGTTCTGGAGAGTATGATGAAAAAGAGAAGAAAATTGATAGCACAAGGAGAAATCAATTTTTAGCTTTCACAGAGGAAAAAATCCAAGAGTTTGGAGATAACAGGGCTAAGCCAATCTGTCCATTGGTTCTCACCTCTGAAAAATAAAAGTGCTGGCAGCTTGGTTACCGATCTGCACCAGAGAGAGTGGCATTTCACACCTGATCTGCCATCACCACTGGAAAATGTAAGGGTTCAAATGAACCTATAATGCTGTTATTATTCTATTACTCATATTAAAATGTAGAATTATGTGAGCTCCTAGAACTGAGTTGTGATTTTAGGACCTGAGCTAGATCAGGTCTTAAAAGATAGTTACGCTTTAAGCTCTTCTTCATGGTGGTGTGCATTGGGCTGCAGCACAGTGGAACTAGATGAATACATCAGCCAAGGACAAGCCCCCCCTAGAAAAAATGTGTTCATCTGAAAGTAGCCTTTGAACACAACCCTTTGGGTCTCCCACTCACCCCTTGTGCTATGATGCACAAACCTGTTGGATCTTTTTCCATGAACTATTCTTCAAAAAAGATTGTTGGGTTTTTTTGTTTGGTTGGTTTGGGGGTTTTTGGTTTGTTTTTGCTTTTGATTCTTTTTTCCCCTCCAAGAAGGAGTTTTTCCAGACTGATATCTCTGGTAATTAGAAACCTTTTACTAACTTTTGATCTGAATTTATTCATGGGCAAGTTGAACTCATTTGTTTTTGTGCCAACCTTGTCCTCTGGACCTTGACAATGATGCATTTATTCACACTCTCTCTGTGTTTATAAACAGAGAGCATATCCTCTTTCAGTCTTTGTTTTCACAGGCTAATCAAGCCAACCTTTTCGTTCTCTTCTCACACAAATCAGCCTTTCTGTGCACCCATTCCATTGTAATTATAATAGAGCTGGTCATAATTGTTGCACATTACTGCAGATGAAATCCAACCAATCCTTTGTAGAGTAGCATTAGTATTTTCACCTCCTTTATGGTAACTGTAGGCAGTGGAAAGTGTTTTGGGCTGTCCTTGAGTAAACAATAGTAATAGAGAACTGGTGGCAGCCATGGGCATAGTAAAATGACCCTGAATGTTTAATGAAGGAAAACACCTGAGACACGTGGATTTAAAATAAAAACGACATCTCTTTCATTTAAAAAGAGCAAAATAAAGTGATGAAAATCATACAAATGCACCTTCTTCAGTTCCATTAAATAAAATCTAATCTAACAGGAACAATTATTTTCCTCAGTTGACTCCACTGATCAGAAGAGATCTGTACTATTTGCAAAGGTCTGATACAATGTATTATGCTTTAGAAAATTATGAATCCTTTCATTATATAGGAACGATTCCCCTCCTCCCACACATGCATTGCTATTATGATACACAGTCTTCAAGCAAATTTGCTGTATTACATAAAATAGCAACTAATGGGACTGTAAAAATTAAAGAACTCTTTCCAAGCATTATAGCATTTAGAGTGAGCAATTAAAATAACAGATGTTACCTCAAAAAGCCTAAGCAGATTCCTGATCACAAAACTGAAGGTGGTATTTCCTTCTGTACTACTATACTCAGTAAGTGTGTTGTATCCCCTTGGCACAGTAATTGAAAAGGAAATCAATCCTATTTTGGTATCTCAATTATTTGAATCATGTGTAATAAATCATCTGAAATTTTCAAATTAGGAAGCCAGAGAAGCAGTGTTACAATTAGTCAACGGTGTGATTTAGCCAATACAGGCACACACACACAGATATCTAAATTGTCAGAGATGTCACAAAAGATTCATATAAGCAACAAAATGGGCAGAGCTCTGAGGTCATCAACAGCAAATGGACAATCATATGAAATGGACTTCTATATGAAGATAGATATATTACATACCACACAGTAAGGGGCCCATAAATCATTGCATTTCCAAATCTTGCACTGCTTAAGTGGGTGCACTGCAATCTCATTACTGAACTGGTGAAATGTTGCAATAAGCATGTTATGCAGCATTCACCACTCCAGAAATATTTAAATTTCTGTTGTAATTTGAGATAGTGATAAAGAAAACCAGGACAAAGCATGATACTTTCCATAACATTATCTACAAATCTTATTTATTGCTAATCTCATTTCTGTGTCTGCAAAATATTGAGATTATTAACATTTTGAAACACAGGTTAAAAGTAAATTACTTAAGCGGGAATATGGATTTATGTTCAGAAGCAGATTAAGCAGAGATGGCATTAAACATGTTCACATTCTTTAATTTTTACTAAATGAAATACAGAGATTTTAATGACTATAGAGTTTACAGCACAGTTTGTCAAAATGAAGTTGTTAATGGTTTTCACCCATTTCACATACAAGACTACAAAACTAATAAGGGACAATATATGTTTCACTGCATACATCATTCAGCTCTCCTAAGTGTTGGGACCACAGCCCAGTGGAAGAGTTTTGGAGTGGAGAAGGTAGCTGAGTGGTAACCACTTTGATTGCTCTGCCATTTAATGTGGTGCAATGTGCAAATAGCAATGCTTAGAAAGCAGATTTTTCTTTTTCTTTTTTCTTTTTTTTCCCGCCTCACAGAGACACTAATTTCTGAATAAAAAGCAAAAAGAAAGCACATACACTAGGAATGGATTTTTGGTTTTATTTTGCTTTTTGAGGGTGAAGGAGCTGACACAGCTAAAAGCAAGCACCTTCTTTTGAACTTTCCTAGTCAAATAACATTTAAAATGAAAACCCAATGGCAGTGTCTTTAACTTGAACAGCATGCCAGCATCTGAGTTCTGTCTAAGAAACTATTGTTTAATCCATTAATATAGAGATTAATGGTGGACTGCTTCAGATTTCATGTTGGTTTTGGGTTTTTTTTTTTAAATAAGTTTTAACTCTGAAGAGTAGAGATGAATATTATACTTCAAGATTCCACTCGAATTCTAGTTTAATCTGACAGGAAAAAGAAAACATGTATGTTGTCCACATGACTATCTGTAGCTTAAATCTGTGTTCTCAATCAGTAAGGCCCCATTCATTACTGGAAAACACACACATTACTGGTCTGGAACAGTGCAGAGCCTGAACCAATAATTTCTGTGGGACCTGGGTTGTCTTCAAAGCACTTTCTGTAGCATAATTTTATCCAGAGAAAACTGGTTAAAAATCTTCTGGTTCAAACAAGTAGGCCAAAGTACAATCTCACTGCAATGATGTTGTACCTTACTATTTAATCTTGGGAAAAAAAAAAAAAAAGGCTTGGATTAAATTACCTTACCATTAGCACACTGTACTAATGAAAATCTAGTAATTAAGTATGAAAACATAATAATTTATGTAAATCCAGAAAGTAGACACAGAATTTACACGCATTCTCTCCAAGTAATGCTTTATCCTAGGAATATACAGAAGTTTCACGATCTACATGTTAGGGGAGAATTATCTCCCCAGGGAATTCAAGGGTTCTGCTTTTTATAAAACAAATGAAAAATGTGAATGTCATCAAATCTAAGAACAACTATGTTGTTCAATGTCTTATATAGAAAGCTGCTTCATATACTGACTTGCCATATTCTAGCTGACAAGCATTCATGGAAAAACCTATCTCCCAGTTTAAAAATAGGATTTCAATTTTATTTTCTTTGGGATTTTTTGCTTCAGAAACATTCATACAGGATTCATGATTCACAACAATGTTCATTTGACAGTTACCTCATTTATAATGATCCAGTGACAGTCGAAAGCAACCAAATTAGTCTCCACGACCTGAAATAGAGAACAAACCAGCTATCAGTCAGCTTGCTTGTGAAAGCCAGAAAAAAACTTAAGTGGATGCTCTCTGTAAATGACAAAACCTGAAGCACATACTCCCTAAGACCTGTTACTCAACCGAGGCTGGAGAACCTTTAAAAACTTCTGCAGAAGCATTTGTGTTATTGTTAGACTTGCTAATCAAACTTGGAAAACACATTTCATTGCTGGCTTCAAAGAAAAGAATATGTTTCAGTTGACTGAGGAGAAAATTAAATTGATACTATGTGTTAAGAGTAACAGAGAGGAAGGCAGAAAATTAATATCAAGTAACTCTTGTTAGATTTCTGTAGTTCCTGCCCCTAAGGTGCTTCCAGTGTACAGCTCCCCTCAAAGCCTGTGAATTAAAAAACCCAAGCCAAACCCAAACCAAATAAACCTGCAACACAAATTGGTGGGGTTCACAGAAGTGCAAAGAGTTGAAAGGAAAGGGTTCTCTTGAAAAAGAGGGCTTTCACGGGAATGATGAATGACCACCTGCTTCAGGATCCATGCAGGGTATCTAATCCTTCTCCCACACATGATCTCTCCTTTGCTGAAAATTATTTCCAGGAGCAGCCTCCATGCTGGACTTGAAATACACTTCCTAACTCATCTTTCACTCAGCCCTATTCTTTCCCTCCTTGAATCCAGTACAGTTTCGTGGTGAGACATGTTTGATTCACCTTCACAGTGGAAACAAGCGGGAAAAAATACATTTGGTCTGCTTTCATTAGCTAGGAAAGAAATCATTGACAGAAAGGAGAAGCCTGGACACCTTCACCTTTTTTTTTCCTAAATGAAATTGAATTAGCATTGACACTGAAATAGTTTTAAACCCAAATTAATCCTGTTTTATTTATATAATCACTATGCTCACCTTGATTCACAATTCAGAACTACTGGATTCTTAAAACTGCATTGAATCCCATACATAAAAAAACAAAAAACTGAAACAAGGTTTGGGACTTACAATGTTTTAACATTCAAGTAGAGGACTAGAGCTGGGCTGTTATTACTTGGACCATTGCACAACAGTCATATTTGGCTTCTAATGTCAACCAACACAAACAGCAGTTGCCAAGGATGACTGCAATTTATACTGTGCCATGTCCGGCCGTAAATCTTAAGAGCAGCAAAAGATCCCATACTGGTAACCTTCATTATTAATTCAGAGGCCATGAGAATTGGGGGTCACCGCTTACTTAGTAAAATGATAGGCAAGATTAGAAATTCTGATCTGGAGAGACTGGGAAGAATAAAGCCAGAGCAGCAGTATATGAATTGACTTCTTATTTGAAACTCTCAAAGCACCGATAAGAAATGAGGGAAAACGAAAGCCATAGCATCTAATGTGCTTGTGGAAAATGGTCAGGAATCAGGGTCCTTACTTTATGGGGAATTTAGACTCACTACTCTTTCTCTGCAGTGCCAACAGTGTTGCTTTGACATTTTCTTGCATTCTCCACAGTAGGCATCCACACAGCACATACAGAACAGGATAGAAACTGAATAACTAAGTGATGAGAGGCATCGCGAAAGGCTTAGCCAGGATGGTTAAACTGGAGCATGGCTCTTCTAATCAGATCTCTCCTATCAAACCAGTTGGAAGACAAACACATTCAGGAACACAGAAAGTTTAAAAATGGACTGGATAGTAACAAAGTTCTCAAGGGAGCATTTGCTCCTTATGTAAAGTTCCCAAGCACAGAAAGTTTATCCCATCTACAACATAAGTGATGCCATCTAAATTTTCCATAAGACAATGAAGCAGATAATTCTGTCAGTCAATCTACATACATTTCTGCTGAAAGCAATCAGAATTTTAAAAAAGCAACAACAAAATCAAACCAAAACAAAACCCCAAAAAACCCCAAAGTAGCACATCTGACATACTTACTGGCTTCTTGCCAGGTTTCTAGTTAACCTAGTCTGTCCTAACTTCTGGCTCCAGAATGTCCCACTGGGAATGCCTGCCCTACCTTAACTACTCTTCTCAAGATGAGGTCTCCTAAGATTCCTATGGCTCCAAGGCAGCAAGAGGGACGCCTTCAGAGTTGAGGCTCCCAGTGGTGTTAGGGGAATGACAAAGATAATTATTTTCCATTCTTTCCCTGCTTCAAAATGGCAGTGAGCTGAAACTTCAGAATGAAGGAATCCACAAAATGAAAATTCACGTTTTCTATTCAGTTTTTAATAACACAGTAAAAGTGGGGTTGATTTCTTCTTTGAGCCTGAAGTTTCAGCTGATCAAATTATAATGCACTTCATCTTCCATTAAAACTTCAGTTTCAGTTCGTTTAGCTTCTTTATAAATACTTGGTTCTGTTTGTTTAGCTTCTTTATAAATACTTGGTTCTGTATATCTACTTTGTCCAGGCTCTTAAATTCCAACTAAACAAGGCCTTTGTAAAAGAGTAGGGTTCTAAGTGTCATTGTTTTTATTATGTAGAATTCAGAGACTGCTTCAGCCAGACTCTGGAAGGGGCTTACTGGTCTCACAAGTCACTCTTATGATTTCAAACATCTCAGGCTACCTATGACAGATTTATTCACAATTTGCAAACAATAAAATGAAATGCATTCATTTTTTAGCTTCACTTGAAACTCCTCAACAGAAAGATCATGTTTTATACATTAAAGTTTATGCATTCATGAATCTACTTAATATTAAAGCCATTTTCAAAAAGCTTATGTCAAATTGAGATGAACTTGTAATGTACTCAGAGACATTCAAACCAATATATTCTAAGTTTAGATGGGCTAGGGATAGTCCCTGGTTTAAGAATTCACTTTCTCTTTCAGTCTGCCTGAAAAGAAGCTGATTTTTTGGCATTTTCCTTAGCCTGTCCACCCAAAGCTTGTCTTAATACTGACAGTGGTTGCTTAAAAAGATGACAAATGATGCCCTGAGAAAGTTGATAGAGGGTTTTTTTTTCACATTTTATTTTATTTGATGAAATATAGATCTCTATCTAAACTGGAACTCATCATTAGATTTAGATTTTAAGGCTGTCTTTTCACCCTTAGGTAGTTTGGCCTTATTTGATGAAATCCTAGTCCCACTGATAGCACTCACAATGCAGGATCATGATGTTGCATCTCAGTTTCCTCACCTCTGAACGTCTCTTCTCCCTGTATGGCCTATATTGTCCATTTAATTAACTTCGACGTTAGGCAGTGCATATTCTATATCTGTATGAATTTCAGGGCTTATACTATTATCATCATCATTAATAAGCTTCTGATATTTTCCAGTTGTTGTGCTTCCTATGGTTTTCAGGGCAAAAGAATGCACAGGCACCTACACTGTTTTACAGAAAATAATACAATACTATGTAAACCTTCACTATTGATGGTTGCAGGAAAAGGCTGTTCAAACCCGAAGTTTTCTTCAAACACTAACAGTAATTCTATGCACAATCTCACAGTCAGAAGATACTCTTGATCCGCAGTTATTAAGCACAAGTTTACAAGTTCAAGATTATACTAAATCAGTCCAAATAAATAAATATTGTCCTGGGTTCAGCTACAGCAGTCATTTTTTCTCCTTCTTAGTAGCTGGTGCAGTGCTGTGGTTTTGACTTTCAGCCTGGGAACAATGCTGATAACACCGATGTTTTTAGTTGTTGCTCAGTAATGTTTACTCTGACCAAGGACTTTCTCAGTCTCATGCTCTGCCAGGGAGGAGGGGAAGCCAGGAGGAAGCAGAGGCAGGACACCTGACTCAAACTGGCCAAAGGGCTATTCCATACCACAGCACGTCATGCCCAGTATAGAAACTGGGGGGAGTTACCCGGAAGGCCCAGATCGCTGCTCGGGTCGGGCTGGGTATCGGTCGGCGGATGGTGAGCGGTTGTGTCCTCTCCCCTTGTTATTCCTCTTATCATTATTACTGGTAGCAGCAGTGGTTTGTATTATACCTTAGTTACTGGAGAGCTGTTATCTCAACCCGTGGGAGTTACATTCCTCCGATTCTCCTCCCCATCCCTCTGGGAGCGGGGGCAGGAAGGAGTGAGGGGAGTGAGCGAGCGGCTGCGTGGTTCTGGGTTGCTGGCTGGGCTTGAACCACAAAAAATATATAGAAATATCCAAAGCCAGCAGCAACACAACCTAGATCCAATTAACCGTCAGTAAAGCAGCCATTACTTGGACACAGTAAACCTTTACAGTCATGACACAATGTTCCCCAATGCCCTTGTCAGCCTATTAAGTTTGCTGTTTTGTTTACTTACAAAAGCCACTGCATATTCACTTGGAAGGGATGATAACAAACAAGATTAAAGTAAAAAAAACACCAACCACAAAAGAGCATTGCTGGTTCTGCCTAAAATGGATCATAACCTAAAAGTGCATACAACCCAGATTCAATAGAAGTATATAATGCAGTTGTGTAAAAGGTTTCTATGACTAATATGATCAGAAAGTTAAAACACGTATTAGTTATGTGAGTGATGATCTTTTTCTAGTTGAAATTCACATCTGCAGGCATATCAAGTGAGCTGGCATGAACTTCTGTTCTATGCCAGGAAATAATGAATGTACAAAATAATGCTTGCAAAGGCATAAGGGCAGTAATGAAAAAGAAATCTGATAGCCTGTACATTAGAAGCAATAAAGCAACTTGATGGGGGTGTGTAGGAGGTAGGGGCTTCAAGACCCCAAGCACATGAATACGATTCAAGTTTCAGATTCATCTACTGGTTCTGTTGGCTCTGCGACAGGAAGCAGCTTTGTGTGCTCCTGAAAGGCAAGGCACAGATTGGAAATTTCCATACAAGACAGAAGGCAGGTAAATATATTGTTTATGCAGCTCACCTCTTAAGCTAAAACTGAGAAAAATGAGTGTGCACTCGTAATGAGGGCTGCACACCAAAATTCTACAGATATGAAACTGAGGATAGTTGACCCTTTCCAAAACAAAGAAAACCATGCACATACTTGACAAATGCTCTTTTAAACTTCCTCTATAGGGG